GGTACTGGACATAGAACTCCACTCAACCACTGAGCTACTTCCTGCCTGACAAAGGAGATCTTCTTTTTGGCAGTGCTGGGGTGTGAACTCAGAGCCTAACACTTGCTACTCAGATGCTCTACTGCTTGAGCCACCCTGCCAGCCCTTTTTTGTGTTGGGTATTTTCGAGATAGGGTCTCATGAATTATTTGCCTGGGCTGGCTTCAAACTGTGATCCTCCTGATCTCTACCTCCTGAGTAGCTGTGATTATAGGTGTGAGTCCCCAGCTGGCTGACAAAGACGATCCTGATCAGACATCAGACTATTTTGAGTCAACTCAGATGGTGCCTATGATTTTTTTCATTTTGGGTTTCCAAAAAAATACTGAAAGATATTAAAACATCAAATATTTCATCAGGAACAGTTAGCAAATGACAGATACAGACCAAATCCAGCCTGCAGTTTGTTTTTGTATGGCTAATGACAAAGGTTGTTTTTTTTCCATTTTTAAAACAAAACTTCCCAAAATCAAACAGCACACGACAAAGATCTACATGGACCTAAAATACTTACAATCTGGCTTTCTATGATAAGAGGTTTGCCATCCTCAGATCCAGGACTTCTCTCACTGGTCCTCTTTCCTTCATGTCTGTCTAGGCATCAGCCACTTAAGTTGTACCCAATGTAGCAAGACACACAGAGAAAGATCTACTTTCCACTCCAAATATTACAACTCACTTAATAGTATGATGACTTATGGGTTTAATAAAGCCTCTACTGAAAATCTCAAAGCTTTGCCTGTCATGACACTCACTCCCTTTAACTTTTTCTTTGACATTTGAAAAAGATGGCTTTTTTAGACGTCAAAGCTTTTGGCTCAATGCAGTAACAGTCCGACCATCCTGGTACTGCTGATAAGAGGCCTCAGTAGGCTGCACAGCACCCTGCTTATTAAAGCTTACCAAGACACTTTTTAAATTAAAGACCGTGAAAACCCTGACTCTCCTCCCATCAGGTTATTACAGGTGTGTGTCACTGGAATTAAAAAAAAATTTAGCCTAACATTAGCACTCTACCAGCTGTCTTTACCCTAGGACCACACGGGAAAGAGAAAGAAGAGGCAGCCATGGATTTGAGGATGGATGCAGAAGGATTTAGGTTTCCAATGGAAGGTAACTGAATACAGTAGTCCCTCAGTATCCTCAGGGGGATGACTTCCAGGACCCCTGAGGGCAGCAAAATCTGTGGATGCTGAAGTCCCTTGTATGAAATGGTGTATTATTAGCATCTAACTGTGCACACCCTCCCCACACTTACATCATCTCAGCATTACGGTTAACACCCAAAGCAGTGCAAATGCTGTGCAAACAGGTGTGAACTAGGGAATGATGACAAGAAAACAAACTCTCTACTCGTTCAGTGTAGACATAATTTTTTAAAAAATATTTTCAATGCACGGTTGGTTGAGTCCAGGGGTGCAGAACCCACAGATAAGGAAGATTGCCTTTATTTATCAAAGATGTTTAGGTTTGAAAATATTTACTTGGCTCATTTCTCATTGGGGAAAAAGTCTTTTGGTAACTTTATGTATACAGACTGAAAATGTACTCAGACTCAAGCATGAAAACTATTCTAGATACCCGGTGAACTCCTAACCGCCTAGGGAAATCATCCAGGCACAGGTGACCAGGCACACATGAAGCTGTTTCGTGACACCTAGGTACACATGGTCCGGTCATCCTGCAGCAAATCTGGTCCCTCCGTGGTATGTTTCTATCAGCCTTGCTGAGCAGCTGTCGCCTTTTGTCAACATGGGCAACATAAAGCTGGATATGTAGTCAGCTCCAAACCACGTGGAGCTAGTGTTTCTCGGTCAGTGAGTTCTACTTGGCACAGATGCCCATGGCTCTGAAATGGCCGGGTGGATTGGGGTCAGCTTTTCATTTCATCAAGCAAGATTGATGCAAGCCTGGGATGAAACATTGCTCTCTGAGCTGCCCGATACACACAGGTCCGAGGGCACTTAAGAGAGTCTTTGTCCAGAAAGCATTTCAATTTCCATCCCCACCCAAATATGCGAATGTTTTGCTTTAGAAACCGTGTTTTTCCTAACTCAAAAGAGACAAGTGATTTTTTTTCCTTCAAGAGTGAACCATTATGTTTCATTAAAAGTATGTCTCTACACAGCCAGTACTTTGCGAGCACAGTACTGAAAGAGAAGTGAACTTGAGTTCAATCATAGGTCTGCCAAAAGAGACCTGAGGCTCAGCTCCAGCCAAATTGCTCCTTCCTGGGACTTGGTATACCAACAACTATGACACCATAGGTGCCAAACACAATGCAGATTACATCATTTATCCTCAGTACAACTCTGCAGGTAGGGGTCATGCATTCTGACATTTACAGAGGAAGAAGTGAGGAAAGGGGAGGAAATCAGAGTGATTGTTACTTTCCTTAGCTGTAAAATAATCCATGTCAGAATGACTCCCTAGAGAAGTGAAGGTCTCAGAGCTAAGGAGGTACAGAGGCAAGCTTCCTGCACAGGTGGGCTAAGCCCATAGCACCTGTTCTTAACCACATATGTTTTCTAAATTTTTAAGATGTAAAAGCTGGGCTGGATCATCCAAGAGCCTTCCTGGCTTCACTGGTCCAGGGATGCAATTGTCACAGCAGATTTAAAAGATGGCAATTCTTTGAAAGACCAATGACCAACAGAGAAAAGGAGAGCAACCCACAAAAAGTGACAACAGCTAAAAATCAGAGAACAGATTCAGAATTGTTTTTAGTTTACTAAGGACTCAAAAGATTTGGTGCTACTCAGCATTTCCCATATCAATAAACCATTAAAATGGAATTAAATCACTGAAAAAAAAATCACAACCTCAAAGCAGTAGAACAAAATAGTCCTGGTTCTTGGCTTTGGAAAAGTATGTTGTCACTTTCTATTGGTTAAAAGGGGATCATTTAGGATCATTAAACTTCTTTGAACTGCAGCTCAGTTCCCCCATGGAAATGTTTAAACCTAGGTTTGGTAACAATCATCTATATTAAAGGCACAGAAAGAAGTCATACCCATGGGGGAGCTCAAGATGAACAGAACGTTCTACAAAGAAAAGCAGAACTGGTGCATGGAACCGGCTGGCAAGCAGCAGCTCAGTTCTCACTTTGCCCTTTAGCAGAGAGCACTCAGAGCTGCACACAGGAAAAGGGAAGGAAGGTGGAGCAGGGATTGCTGTGGATGGTAGTTTGAGCAGGAAGCAGGGAGGCAGAAGAACCCTGGGAAGCAAAGTTCTTCCGTGGCTTCGATTCAGATAGGACAAAGAGCCAAGTGAGGAATTGTGAAGCCATACTCAAAGATGTTAAAGGGTCAAGCATCAACCAAACACTTAGTATGGAAGTCTTAAATACTATAGAACAAATAAACGGGGGTGGGGGTGGGGGGGTAAATGAAACTTTAGAAATCACCTGGTTCAGCTAAACTCCTTTACAAGTGAGGGATCCACTGAAAACAGAGTAGCTAGCTCAGGTCCTACATGGCAAAGCCAAAGACAACGGTGGTTTTTCATCCCCTGATATGATGGGCTTAGCAATTTTCTTTCTTATGGCACTTTAATAAAAATCCAAAATCTAAAACCAGGCACCGGTAGCTCACGCCTGTAATCTTAGCTACTTAGGAGATTGAGACTGGGGGGAAATCATAGTCACAGGCCAGTCCCAGCAAATAGTTAGTGAGACTCCCATCTGCCAAAAAAAGAGAAAAAAAGCAAAATGAATTGGAGGTATGGTTCAAGCGGTAGAGTGCCTGCTTTGTCCCGAGTTCAAACCCCAATCCCATCAAAAAAAGAAAGAAATCCATAAACTCTTTAACAGTATACCAGTGACAGACAGAACCTGAGAACCAGTACATGCTGCTTTTTAACACTCGATAACGATTTTTCAGCGTTATGCGATCTGCTTACGCCTAGAATCCATTAAATGACAAATTTACCCCAGAGTTAACATTCTGGTCTTCTTAAATACAAAACACAAGAGCATTGTGCATCTGATCTGTCCAAATCCCCAAACCAGCTCTCCAGATTGAACTTTTCTTCTCAAAGTGCTGCCAGACCAAACAGCCTTCCGTGGGACCCACACTCAGGGACTTTAAAATACGTGCAGTAGCCTCGGCCACCTGAGGGTGGTACACAGAGAGCGCTACAGACCAGAACCTAATGAAACACCGGCTTTACACACAGGACACCACCATCAAATTAAAAAAAAAAGCTACCTCTTTGTTTCCCACGAGCGGAGCGAAACCGAACATCTTAACGACCTTATCCTCTCCCGAGCGCCCCGCAGCTTTTGGCTGAAAAGCGAGACGCCACCGCGGACACAAAGAGGGGACGGCCTCGGGCATCACCCGCGGGGCCAGCTGTTTTCCTCGGCCAGGACTGTGGGCAAAGTCACAGCCCACCAGATCCTGCCATGTGCCATGGGGACCGCCGGGCCGCTGGCTCTCGATCTCCCCACTGCACCCCTAAAGATGCCGATGTGCGGCGCTGGGGCGCCCACGCGCGTTTCCGCAGAGCAGGACTGGTCCTCCCTCAACCCGGCGCGCCGCAGCCCGGGGGCCGCCGACACCCACCGCGGGTCACTCCGTCCCGCCCCGCTATTGGGGGGTTGGACCAGGGTGCCAGGCCGTGGGGTCCCGTTTGAGTTGCGGAGAGAGGGGGGTGACACTTTTGAGTGCACACAGAAACTCCTCGGAGCAGCAAACTGTGCAGCCGCGGGGGCTGCGGGGCGGGGCGGGGCGGGCTGGGACCCGGCGATGGTTGAGGTCCGGGGGCTCCTGGGGCGGCGGGCAGCACCCGGCTGGATCCCGATCCCCAGCGGCGTAGCGCTCCGCGACACCCTCTGCGCCCAGGAGGAGCGCGCAGGGGCACCGCGGGATCGGGTACCCCCTTTGCCCGTCCCACCTGCAGATAGGGGCGCGGGGCCGAGGTCCTCTGTCCCATCCCTGGAGCACACGCAGGGCACTTACCGGAGAGGGGCGGCTCCCGGGCGCTGGCGCCGAGAGGTGCGGGTGCGGGTGCGGGTACGCTGCGCTGCGCGGGCTCCGGCGGCCCGAGCGCCCTGCAGCCCGCTCGGCTCCGACTTCCTCTTCCTCGGCCTCGATCCCCGCCCGGCCCGCCCCGCCCCACCCCGCGCCCACACGCGACTCCCCCGGCCGCAGCAGCAGCAGCGGGTCGTGGTCCCGCCTCCCCTGGGCCCTGCGGGCGGACAAGGTGGGGGGTGGGGCAGAGAAAGAGAGAGAGATTAAGCAGCATTTGGCCTTGTCTCTGGAGCTGTGCCAAAGACAGCAGTCAAATTACAGCTTCTGGGGGAAAAAGTGGAAAAAAACAAAAATCCCTGCTACTGTTTTCGCAGATACTTTTCCTCATTTTCTGGGATATTCGGGTGATCATGTCCTACAGGAGTTCTTTAAAGTAATACCAAAAATAATTGCTTCAGGTCAACATTTTAGTTTTACAGAGCAGCTCTGGGGTAGTAACAAGTTAAAGGGGGAACCTCACTGTTTGTCAGGCATCATTACACTAATCACCTCCGTCATGTACCAAATGAACTTTGTCTAGAGAAAGTAAAAGTGAGAAAGGAGGCAAGAGCAAGCTTTGTGATAGCCAGATAGATGTTTAAAGGCACCGGCTCTGTGATAAAATTGTGACCTCAAGCAAAGGTGCCTACCCGGTGAAGTCGTTTCACTTCCTCCTGTCACACACACACACCGCGTTTGTCAAATGTGCCAAGGCACTCTTGCTTACTTTGTTTGTTTATGCACTGTCACCTTAACACTTGCTAGATGTGGGGGTTGGAGGGAATTATTTGACCTCTGTTTGCCTCAGTTCCCTGATCTGTAAAATGGGGAGGTAATGCCCTCCCCATAGAGCTGCTGTGTGTGATTTAAATGAGATGAGGTGTTTCACAGGCTTAGGAGTCTGCCCAGCACACATTAAGGCCTGGATCAATGCTAGCAATTATTGCTGAATTTCCCTTTTTATTTGCCTATACGCATGTTTGTGGTTATGAAAACTATAGCAAAGATTTGAAACAAAGGCTTTGTTCAGTCAGGCCACACAATGTCACAGTTCCCTCTTCTACAACATGGAGTTTATGTTCTGTTTTATAATTTACTTGTGTCTCTGAAACTGACTGTCATTACGCAAAGCTATGACTGGGTTATGCTTGGAGTACATTCGCCGTGGTAGATTTGCAGTGCAACTAAAACAGGTATTTGCCCACTTCAAAGCCTGGTTGGGGTTGGTCCTGCAATAGCCTTGTGAGATCGACAGGACAGGTGCTAGGTTCTGTCCATAAACAGAAAACCAAGGTTTAGGAGGCTTAATCAAGCCCCATCCCAGTATCCAGAGCTCATAAAAAACCTCCATGCTACCCCCGTTGTGTTAGAAGAGGACAGTAGCACCTTATGTGAGTCACGTTTATGAAATCGCCCATAGCGCCCCTTATCTGCAGTTCTGCTTTCTGAGATTTCTGTTACCGGAGGGCAACAATAGTCCAAAATATTAAGTGAAAAATTCCAGAAATAAACGACTCATAAATTTTCAATTGCACACTATTCTGAGTAGAATGATGAAATATCTCCCAGCCTGCATCTTGAGACGTGAATCACCCCCCTTTCCAGCCTGTCCACACTGTGTGCATTATCCACCCATTAGTCACACGTCGCCATCTCCTGTATCAGATCAACTGCTGCAATATCACAGTGCTTGTGCTCAAGTAACTCTTGTTTTACATAACAATGGCCCCCAAGGCATGAGGGCAGCAGGGCTGGCATTTCTTTTAATGTATATTTTCATAACTGTTTTATTTTATTAGTAGTTATTATTGTCATTCTTTCTGTGTTTAATTTATAAATTATATTTTAATCAAAGATAAGTATGCATAGGAAAAATTATAGTTCATATATGGCTTTGTTACTCTTCACAGTTTCAGGGACCCCCTGTGGGTTTTGGAATATAGCCCTTGAGGACAGAGGGAGGAGCATGCCGCATTTGTGGTTTCTGTCAATCTGGAGGTTAGGTGCTGGCCCTTTTTGACACTCAAAGGATACAGGACTCAGAGAAGCTATTTGGTGTGTTTGTGGCTGAGGGGGCACTTGGAGGGGAAGGAAAGAGAACTAGGGTCCCCTGCCCTCTTTGGTACTCTCCTCCCTGGTCCCCCAGTCATACGTGTCTGGCTCCAGTGACCGAGACTAAAGGAGTTAGTGAGGTGATGTGATCCAGTGAAAAGACTGAACCCACTGCAAACTCTACTCACTAGATGCTCCCCTCTGGCAGGTGACATCTGAACAGTGGGACTGTATCCACGGAATGGTTTACTGTTTTCTGACCAGTCCTCTTCTCTTCATGTCACCTCAGCTTAGTAATGAGGTAGAACGCAGAAAGTAGAAATGTGAACAAGTAACTCTTTTGTTGATACTGTGTGCAAATGTGTACTAGGCACCTAACTTACATTTGGTTCCCAAGTAAATGCACTCTGCCCTTCAGCTCACTAGAGAATGGTCTCCCTGGAGTCCTCTGGCCTGAACATCAGTGAAGCTAGTTCATTTGTGTGCCTAGCACTTCGCTCTGCTCCTAACACACACTGTAGATTTACCATGCATGGTGGGTGGGTGGAAGGACAAGGTGAGAGTTGTGAAAACGCTATCATGTAGCATTCCATGTTAGTAACACCGCACTCTCCCTCTAAGGAAAAGAACCAACGCACTTGTTTCCTAAGGGTGCATCCAGTATTAGGAAACTTCTTTAGGTGAGAAGCCTTCCTGATACTTTTGTATCAGTCAAGATCACAAAAGGGAAACAAACCAGTTACAGTATTTATGAAAGATGGACTTTAATGTAGGGAATTGGCCCAAAACGTGAGAGAAAAACCAAGAATTCAAATAGAGACAGTAAGACAGCCCCATTATTAACAACAGCAAAATTAACAGGGGTGGATACACCTGCCCCTAGACTGGAGGGGCAGGGAGAGGAGATTGTATTAGAGATGGAAGCTGACTGTGAGAGCTAGAGAAATAGCTGTTGCCATTGACCCTGGCAGATGGGAGGGGAAATGCCCCGGTTCTGTCTTCCCTTCTCCCTCTAAGCCAGGGCCCTCCATGAATGAACCCTGCTTACCAGGGAACTTAGAACACAGCTTACACTCCATCCCAATCCACAATCCTGTGATACTGAACGCGGAAAGGACCAGAAGGGTTTGAGGACAACAGATCCAGGCTTGGCCTATCCTCAAATCGTGTCTTTTTCCTGTCAAGAAACATTGTGTCTATAAATTATATGTCTATAGAAGAAAAATTTCTGTTTTTCAAGATTATTGAATGCTCCTATAACATCTTCTTTATTCCTTAGACAGAGCTAGTAAAGTAGATCGCATAATCTCAAGGTCACAGAGATTTAGGAAAGTTGAGTGACTCGTTCAGGGCTGCAGAGCTCTACCAAGTAGAGCAGTATACAAACACACAGCTCTGCTGCCAGTTCTGAAGCCCGCCTACCGACTCAGCTGTTCCTAATGAAAGGCAGCCAGTGGCACCTCGCTTCAGCTCATGGATCCGTGCACATACGGGAGTTAATGTTTGCAAAGCTTACAGAGTTTAATGGTTCTATCATGCCCTGCATACACTTTATGACTTCATGGTGTTGCTGGTGACTGCACTGGATTTATGATTGTAAGGCATCAGAAAACTGATGTTTACTGGATTGTAGGAGACCCTCAGGAAAGACCAGGTAACATTTATCCACTTTTTTAATGGAAAAAACTATTTTAATTTCAAATTTAGACTTATTATTTAAAAAGTAGAAAAACAAAAACCAAAACATCCTCTACACTGGGTGTGGTGGTGCCTGTAATTCCAGTATGCAGGAGACTGAGGCAGGAAATTGCTGGACGTTGGTCTGGGCTACTGCTCTCTAAACCCTGCCTCAAATAAATAAATAAATAAATAAACTGTAGACTCTCCTGGCCATGTTAGTGATTAGGCTAAGAGAAGAGTCTTAGGATGAGTTCTCCTGCAGTGATGACAGACCACCAAGGAAGTGCCTGTAGGATGACATGTGTCGTCACATCCCCTGCAGCCAGGAATGGGTGTCAGAGTGTAGTGGGGCTGTTACGCCTTCCTCTCAGGCCTCTGACTATCTAGATTTAGAAATTATGAAGCAGCACTAACCTCAGAGAGTGGAAGATCAAGTGAGAAATGTTCAGAATTATTAGTATCTAGCTGAGTTGGGCCTAAAAGTAGGTAGAGGAATTTGAGACAATCTAGAAATTCTGCTACATCAAGATTCTCTCCACTTCTGGCCTGCAAAAAGAGTGCCTACACTCTCCATCACTAGCAGCCTGCAGAGTGAAGGTGTGGCTTCCGGAGAGAAGCCAAACTCATCATCTGTGAAGAGTAACATGGTGCAGGACAGTCCTGTGCATTTCCAGACTGGCCTAGAAGCCCAACGAGTCTTCTTAAAGAGCCCGGGTCCCTGCTAGCAAAGGAGGCCACTCACAGCACAAAGACACCAGATGTGAACCAGTGAGAAGAGAAAAGGCAAAAAAGACACACCCGAGAATTAGAACTTCAAATAGCTTGTGGCGACTTCCTCATACTAGCTATTCCTCTAATGGCCTGTCTTGACTTTGAGCCATGTAATACGGTGAGAGATGCTGTAAGAACGTTCTTTAGAAGAAGTGATAGTAAATAAACTCTCACCTCTAGACCTTAAACTTGGGGTCAGTACATCCTGTGGACGTAAACACACCCTAATATGCAGATAGCCTGAAAATATTTGCCATAGAGGACGTTCTTAATTGCATTCTATTAAAATAAAGCAAGACTAGACAGTTTTACTTTTGCTTCATAATCTGCTTTTTTTTCAAGTTGGTCCATTTGGAAGTTTTTGACAGTGTGTTTGTGGGACTGTTTTCTCTATTGGATGTGTTGAAGGAAGGAGCTGTTTCCTACTTTATTTTTCAAAAAAATAGAGTTTAGGAGCTTGCCATTGTAATAGTTCCACTCTGTAGAGTCACTGGAAATGTGACTGTGTGTGTGTGTTGGGGGGCAT